CACTGTATCCTGCTTCTATGCTGCTTGGACATTACCCTGCAAGTTCAGAGTAAGATAATCTTTAAGGGTAATGCCATTTTAAAAGGTAGATAAATGTTTATAGCATTAAGAAAATAGATCCATTTGTTTTACATTTACATTCAATACCTTTTAAGGATAATAATTGGCTTGAACATTTTGAAATAGAAAGATATTGAAAAATTGCATTTTGATTGTCAGTTGGGGGGGGGCTTTGAGGATAATTAATCCATGTTTAACAGATTCTTACTCATGCCAACAGTCTTTTAAATGGTGACAATAGAATGTACAAATTACTCTTTACTTCAGATAAATAACTGGATCAATCTATTCTCACTGACTATAATACTAATATAGTGAAGGACTGATGGAAGAGAGAATGATTTACGCTTCTCAACCCCATGTAGCAATTATCCATAAACCCATTGCTTTCATATTATATAGGAATATTATATGGAAAATGCAACTATCTGCTAGCAGATTGCTATAGGAAAAATGATTTGTGTGAATATATGTGCATGCAAAAGAATTAGCAGAGTGGACAGTTTGGTATGCAGATAAAGATACCTAAGCGTACATTTAAATGAATGTTTGTGCCACCCTGAACAAGCAACTGGTGTGAACACAAATTGCCATCCCCAGTCTCTGGCAATGCATTTGCTAGTGTGCTGACTTTATTGAAAAAAAGAGTAAAGAATGTAAAATCTTCCATAATCACTATAAAAACTTATTAAGACAAGTTGGCATTCTCAAATGACATCACTGCCTCAGAAAATTTTACTAAATAACCATCAGCAATGTGGTCATCATAAATGGTGTGTATAAGTTTGCTGAATGAGTTAGATATATTATTGTTTTCTTCTAGCTTTAATTTAACGGGTTTATAAAGCAGCACACAAAAACCACTTTACACGTCTAAAATAAGCCTCTGTGTCAGTCACTGCAGGCAGTATGTGATTTTCTCTCAAACATTCTTCATCATTTATTTTCTGAATATTATTGTGTTCCCATTGATTTATTAATGTTTTTCTTACAAACTTTATTTTTAACTTGTACACATTCCTTATTTCTTCATTTTTGTTACTTTTCCAAGCCATAAACAATATTTTAATGTCATCATCTATTATAATTGTTTTAGTGTGCTTTGTACATAATGCAATAACATGCACATTTAGCAGGGAACAGTAGAGTTCAACCCTATTATTCTACGTTTTAGTATATTTTCAATATTCTCTTACAGATGCTATTATCATTAGTAGTAACTATCTTTTAGGAAAATCTTTTTATTTTTCTGAAACATAATTATGAGCTTGTAATAGGTTGTGTTTAATTTGCTTCCCCCTCCCCAAATTATTATTGGTGGTAATGATTAACCCATAGTGCCTTCAAATCAATAGATATCACTTAAAATTGCCCTAAATAGATACATATATATGTGTGTGTATGTGTATGTATACATATGCATATGCACATGCACATACACATACAGTGTCTATCTGTCTGTCTGTCTGCCTGCCTGCCTGCCTGCCTGCCTGCCTACTTATCTATCATCTGGGTACAACCATACAGTATTGAATGATCCTCTGTTAAGCCAGTTTATTTTGCAATCATACTGTTCTGAGGCAGCCAATCAGTCAGTTCCCATTAAGATGTATAGCATATAGTTTGATTGAAAAAGGTTAGCAAGCTAATAGGGTCATAATTTACTGACTTTTATTTTCTTTTATATTTAGTGAAAGGGTGGTGGATTTGCTCCATTCTGATGGAATATGAAAAGTGCAATATATTTATGTAAACTAATTGGTCAAGATTGAGGCCTGCCATTTGACATTAATCTGCAGGGATTAAATCCTGGGGGCTTTGCCTTGCTCTAACTGCCTAGTCCCATATGTTTGAGTTGGAAGCACTGAGGTGCTCCTGGGTTGAAAGGATTAGTGGTGACATCACTGTTGCCTGGGGGACTCCTGGTTGGGGGCTCCTTTCATATCTCTGTTAATGAGCCCACCGAAGTGGTACCTATGTATCTACTCACTTTTTCACACTTTTGAACTGTGGGTAGGAGCTGGAGCAAATGATGGGAGCTCAACCTTTCACACAGCAGTACTTAGATCTCAAACATGGGCTTGCTGATTGTCAACCCAACATTCTAACCACATTAGCCACTGAGCTCCAATTTTTACAGTCTTGGAAAGGACTCTCATCTAGCTTTCTAGATCTCTGAGGCAAATAAAAGTATACCTCTAAGTGGTGTTGTTACTGGACTGAACTGATTGGTCTATACTTTTGGAAGGATTCCTACAAGAGATGAAATATTTTTTTTTTAAATGAGAACAGTTTTCACAAAGTGCTAAAATAATGAAGAATTACTTTGCTGGATGATTTGGATAGTTTTTGCTATGCAAATGTGCTACCTACTCCTTTTTATTTAAAAGAGACTTATATGATTTTCCCCCTCTAGAAGGGTATTTTAGAGTTTCTTTGAGTTTTGATTTTGCTCTAACACTGACACATTCCTGATGAAAACATTGCTTGCAATTGTATTTTATCTTAATGGTATTTTATTGGTGCCGTATTTTGGATACTGAAGGACAATATTTGGAAATCACTGATCATTTGTGGCTGCTTCCACTGCAGATGGAAGATAAAGCTAAGAGGCTTAGTCCAAGTTAGAGAAGAAAGTGAGGCATTTCTAGGCCTTCTTAGACCACCTTCTTTTCCTCCTGATCTTGTCCAAATGATTAGGCAGAATATAAGCCATGGAGACCTCCATCTCTTTTCCAACTGAAGACAATTTTCCATACACTTTGATTAAAGCTTCTTTAATGATCTCAATCATATTCCACTGAGGAGGAAATCTGACTGGAGAGCTTTGTTCTTGTCTGATGTTAGTATCACCAGAACAGTTGGACAGCATTTCTTTTTACAATGCACAAGGGCATCTGCCGTGACAGTTAAGGTTTAAGGAAGGTTAGCTTTTTTTTTGTTACTTAGATTTGGAAGCAAAATCTTTCCAATCATGTTGCTTAGTTTAAATGTCCTAGAATATATTGGAACTAGGCTATATATCTAAAAGTTTTTCTCCCATTGACGTTAAATGATTATTCTTAATTGCTTGGAATTTTTAATGGAAGGCAAGATATTAAAATGATTATATGTAAGTCAATTTATAGTCTGATGAAGATAGATTAACTTCAAAGGTTTTGACAGAACTAAAATAGGAAAATCTTCTTTTAAATATGTAGAAGCCAAGCAGCTTAAGGATATATAGACAACAGAAAATAAGCAGTTTTCTACAGGGTATCCAACGTAGGATTCCAGTTTTTGGATATTGGCCTCTGTTTTCTATAATGTGGCAGCTATCTAGTGGTCATCAAGAGTTGACCCATGTCATGTAGCCTTGGGGTTACAAAAGAATGAATTATGATTGCAAGATATAACTAGAACACTGCCAAAAGGCATTATATTCCCCAAGCCAAAAGACAGATAGAACTGTCTTTGTACTTGCCCTTGAGTATTGACCTCAAACTACGTGACATATCCATGGCTTGCATCAGTTCATCTATAATATGTCCTGTGACATGACATACTGACAAAAAATATCACTGGGTATTTTTAAAAGACTTCCACCTTTTTAGATACACATCTTATATGCTTATAATACAGAAAGACATACCATCGTTCTTTAGTTAGACCAGGCCTGGCAGGTTCGTTGCTTGGTTCTTATAAATGTTAATCTTAATTTCTTTAATGAAAAGGAAAATAAATATTTAATATCTATTTTTTTATTTAATGGAAGTCTATGTAATTGTAAATTATGGGCAAGGCTCTCATTATGTCTAAATATGTACGCTTCATTTTATTGTAAATCAATCTAATTTTTTCATTCTTTCTGCTAGATGACATTATAATTAATAATTGTATTCTTCCTCTGCACCAGTCCTGTAGAAATATTGCGGTCAATGTATTACAGCCACTATGGGCAAGCCCTCACCACAATTTCCAAAAAAGACTTGAACAGACTATCACATGCAGAAAGAGTTTGCAGATATTTTAGAGTTTGAAGCATTCTGTATATTTAAGTGAAAATTTTCTGAAAGTGGGAATCTGACTTCAGCAATGATCGGTGGAGATTTTGAACTTGCAAAACATACAATTATGGTCCTATTAAAAACTCATTTTGGGATAGAGGTTTAACATTCATGTCTCAATCATGGGTATGGGACTCTGATGATTATGAGCTGGGTAAGAAACTATCATAACAAAAGGCATCCAATAGGTTTCAGCAGGGAAAATTGTACACCACTGTGCTATCAAGTTGATCAGTATATAGCAATGAATTCAAATAATATGACTCAAAAACAATCTTTTATTAGAAATAATTTAAAATTATGAGAGAAAATCATGCCTGAAATTCAGTAGTTCTCCCTTTACTGGTTGACAACGCTCCTTCATTAATAATAACTCTTGACTGAATGCTATAACTATATTAGTCTTAAATCAGAGAAATTAGAGCTGACATTCAGAGTACATTATATAGTTGACTATATAATGATAACTTTTATGATGCCAAAGGGCAGTATCTAACTAAACTTTTAATGGGCAAAAGAACAAGAAATGAAAATTGTAACTTGGAAGATAAAATTGTAGTACTACAATAGAAGAAAATTACAGTTCTTAATTCAGAATCATGAAATATATGTATTGGTACAAATCTTGAATATAATAATGAATAATATTCACCCTCTTTCTAAAACATTCCACAGATGTATAAAACTTTCATACGATATATGGTGTGTGCGTGTGTGTGCATGCGTGTATATATGTATATAAATATCTGTATATATACATACATTTATATATGTATATAAATATTCATATACACATACACACACACACTCACGCATACGTACACATACTGTATAAATTCATTTTCCCACAAGTGAAATGTATTCAGGGTTAGAGACCCAATTCTTACTACTTACCGGTGACCTTCAGTCTGTCTGCTCCAATGACAATCTCTTCTTCATCAGCAGAGAAAAGAACCCTACCATCCTCACTTGAGCTAACTTCAAATCTTTTACATTGGGCTTCTACACCTTCAGCACCTAAAAGAGAGAAAACAGAGTCTTTAGCACATTCTCATAACTTTTCCCAATATTCCTTTTAAATTCAGATCTGGGGCGACTTACATTATATTACATTAATTCTATATATGAGTATCTTTTACAGACTGTGCATGCTGAGAATTGCCTTGTATTTGATTTTCCAGAGATAACTAAATTCATTGTTTGATCCATGTGACTAGCTATATATCATATCAATTTATTTATTACAATTTTTACATCTACTTCAAATACTTAAAAAATTATTTTTATATGACATTTCATCCCCAAAGTGTAACACAGGATTCTTGCCCCACAAAAATATGTATAAACAGCTTGTAAAACATTAGTATAGTATAAAGGTTTTCTGTTAGGCTTAAGAATGGTAATAATATTAGACTAGAATAGAATTCTTTATTGACCAAGTGTGATTGGACACACAAGGAATTTGTCTCCACTATTACATACAAGTAATAGTGATAATCATGATCATAAACAACATGAAAATACATTTATCATAAATTGTAAAATACAACACTTCATCATAAATCATAAGATGCAACACTTAGTGATAGTCATAGAGTACTAGATAAGCAAACAACATAAATCATATTAAGATACTAATTAGTAATTAGTTGTTAAGCAGAGTGATGGCATGCAGGAAAAAACTGTCCTTATGTCTGGTCGTTCTGTAGTACAATGCCTTATAGCGTCGTCTTGAGCGAAGAAGTTGACATAGTTTATATCCAGGATGTGATGGTCCTGTAGATATTTTCACAGCCCTCTTTCTTGCTCATGCAGTATGCAGGTCCTCAATGGAAGGCAGGCTGATAGCAATTGTTTTTTCTGCAGTTCTAACTATTTGTTGAAGTCTGTGTCTGTCTTGTTTGGTTGCAGTGCCAAACCAGACAGTTATAGAGGTGCAAATGACAGACTCAATAATTCCTTTGTAGAACTGTATTAGCAGCTTCTTGGGCAGTCTGAGCTTTCTGAGCTGGCGCAGGAAGAACATTCTTTATTATGCTTTTTTGATGACATTTTTGAAGTTAGGTGCCTATTTTAAATCTTGAGATTTTATAGAACCTAGAAACTTGAAGATCTCTATTGTTGATACTCTGTTGTCTAGTATTGTAAGATGTATTAATATTATTATTTTTATTTAGTATTATTTTACCAAATGTACTGTTTTTATTAACTATTATTCTCTTGCTAAATTGCTACACACAAATACATACCTCTACCTCTACCGCTACCTCTATCTCTACCCCTATCTATCTATCTATCTATCTATCTATCTATCTATCTATCTATCTATCTATCTATCTATCTATCTATCTATCTATCTGTGTTCCATCTATTATATTTTACCAAATTATTCCTGTATGTTCTACTATTATTAGAACATACCTTTTACACTTGAATGTACCTTTCTTTTATTTATTTATCTATCTATCTGTCTGTCTGTCTGTCTGTCTGTCTGTCCGTCCGTCCATCTGTCCATCCATCCATCCATCCGGCCGGCCATCCATCCATCCATCCATCCATCCATCCATCCATCCATCCATCCATCCATCCATCTGCTTTCAATCTACAGAAATATTGAACAAATTAGTATAATGGCCCAGATAAACATTTGTTTCAATAATGTATATTAGTTTGTTGAAAGTTAAACAGTAGTTATAATCAAAGTCAATGTTCTTAAATTGTGTACTCTTAATAAATTGTTCATTGAGTAATCAGCAGTGTACACGACAATGATCTGGATAAATTGCCAACAATAATTTTTGTTTGACTACTAACAAATCAGATTGCTCTTTAATATATATTTCATGCTGTTAAACCATTTATTTACAATTTACTGTATGTGACTCTTTTTAAAAATTTACCCTTCTAATTGATTTAATTATTTGCAAATAATTTCTTTGAAAGAACTATCACACAAATGTTCCTGTTCTTTTCAAAATGAAGTATCCACTATTAAATGGAAATAAAGGCTGGGAATGTTGCCCTTCTATTTGCTAAGATATTATTTTAAAGTTTTAAAATTATAAATATAAATCAATTTTAAATAATCTTCAGGACCATAGCATGCAGAAAATTTGTAAGATAATTATTCCAAAAAGTTTGGATTTTTCTTAAAAAAATTCTTTATGGACTAAGGATTACAATCATTCAGCAATGATCCCACCAGGAATAAAATAAGGTTAATGTTTGTCCTTTTTCTGAAAACATCCATACCAAAGGGGCAGAGAGGCATAGAGTTTTATTTGAAATGGCCAATGGATTCAAAAATCACTCGACCAGTTTAGAAAGTGTGCATATTGTGGAAAGGAGGGGAAACATGGCTATCAATTGGATTTTAAAAGTTGAGGAAAGATAGAAGACATCTTTTCATCAACTTTTTAAGAAGTAAAGTACACGACTGGTTTTCTCCTATTAATTTTTAAATTGGGAAATTTTCCATTTTTGGAAATTTGGCAACCAAATTCTACATAGCTAATATAATCCATCTAAGACATGGGTGTCAAACTCGATCGCATCCTGTGATGTATCGTGATGTATCGTGGCATTTTTTGCCTTTGTGGAACCAGGATGGGTGTGGCCTCTGTGTGTGATGCATCCGGCCTGCAGGCCACCAGTTTGACATTTGCCAGGCCAGTTCATGTAGTTGAGGAAATCTAAGGATAAGGGTTCTATTCATTTGATTTATTGCAGACACTTGTGTTGCATTTCTTTGTACAATGTTGTAGCCAAGGTTAAAGCTGCAGTAAATTGGAACAAGTGTTTTACTTGCACAATTTATTTGCACAAAAATAAACTGAAGCAAGTAAATGTTTTATTGGCCCAAAGCTACCTGAGTGATCTTGGCCACTCATTTTTAGCCCTACAAATGAAGCAGTGGTAAACTACTTGTGAAAAACTTGCTTAAAAAGCTGTAGGGACTTGTCCAGACACTCTCTGAGAATCAGACATAATTGAATGCAAAAAAAAAAAATGTTTTAAGTTTTTTCCCCCCTAAGAGAGTATCATCAAGGATAATGCAGTGCATAATAACACAAACAAGAATGTTACCAGAGTAGTGATCTTCTCTCCATATTGTCTGTTGGAGACTATGATTTCTGATACACCATCTTCTGCCCATTACTTAAAAATAACTGTCTAACTATATTGCTTGCTTTTCAATCAAATAGGCAACAGGCAAAGTTTTGTATCCCTGCATCCACTGAAGAAAAGTCAGGCCTGTAGAATCCATGTAGATGTCAGTGAGAAACTGGCAAAGCCAGGGAAAGAGTCAAGTCGGGAATTAATTTAGATTCTTTCGTGGTCACAAACAATGAAGTTTGACCCCCTTGAATGCCATTGAACTTCACCTAGTTTTACCCAAATGCAAACTATTAATTAGTGAAGATTCCTGAGTATAGGCTTGAGCAATAAACCATTAAATTGGAACCCTCACATGTGGATCTCATTGTTCATGATTGACAGCAATTGCTATTAACGACATAGGAGCTTAATTTCAAACAGAAAATACTTTGAATCACCTCCTCACAGAATTTCTTTCTAATCCAGAAAAAATAATCCAATTTATTTGGGATAAGAATCCAATTAAGAGATATCAATTTCTTTCTACAAGTATGTGCGTGCAGGTGCTAAAGAGGACTTTATCTAATGGCTCAAAAGAAGATCCTGCATTAATTTATGGGACAAAGCACTTTTGCCTCTCTAACATAACCTTATTATATTTCATTAACTATAATCTGGAAAAGAGCTATGACTATGGCATTCAGAAATAGGAATATAGAGATCATTTTTCCTTGTTGGAGAATGGACTACACACTGTCCACCCAGTTCTGTCTCTTATTAGATAATATTTCACTTCACAACTGCAGTCCTGGAAAAAGGAATTTATTTGCAAATAAACGAATGGATTATGTATATCTTATAGCCAGTTTGATATAGTGGTTAAAGTGCTGGCCTAGAAGCCAGGAGATGGTGAATTCTAGTCCCACTTTAGGCATGAAAACCAGCTGGGTGACTTCGGGCCAGTGACTTTTTCTGGGATTGTTCACTTCTCTGGGGTTGTTGTGGGGAAAAGAGGAGAAGGAGTATTAAATACGTTTATCCCCTTGAGTTACTTATAAAAGTAATAAAGGTGGGATAAAATTCAAACTAACTAACTAATTAACTAATTAACTAGCTAACCAACCAACCTCTGAATGTAAACTTGTATATCCATGCATTCAATGATCAGAAAAAAAAATGCCAAGGTATAAATAAATACATACCTAACAAAGAAAATGAAGTGACAGATCGATCAAAAGGGAAATTTCAAACTCCATTGTTTCAAATGCTTTACAAGCTAGCAAAACAAATCAACAATAACATTGTGCCAGCTATTATCTCAAAAAAAAAGACAAGAAAAATGATGGGATGTGATTTTGCATGTTTAGATTAGCTCCTTAGACATTGTTATCTGAAGTGAGAAATAGATTTAAATTTAAAAGAATGAATATAAAAGAAAAGTAATAAGAACCTTAAATCAAAAACAAAGATGCAAAACTGAAAGTGTGTTACAAAAGGGGAAGTGAGAGCACATTAATCAAGAAACTGTAATTTCTATTTAAAGATCAACAAATTTCTCTGTAGGATTAATGATCTGAGAACTGTCAAGTAATTCCAAATTTGAGGCATGTTAAACATGACTTGTCTCAGTGTCAGTTCACCATCACATAGGCCAGCCTTTCCTAAAATTGTACCCTATTTTCTAAAACAGAGATTGGGAACCTTGATTCTATGGGACCAATTCAATCTGGGAGATGTCAAGCCCACCAAATGTTGGCTAGATTCCTTTCTTCACAGTACTTCTTTCTCACCCTCAGCTATGTTAAATAGAAATCATTTTCTCAATGCAGATAGTCAGGAAAAAATCTGTAGGACTGAGGAAAGTTTTACCTCTGAGGAAAGTTTTACCATGTAAAGAAATGTGTGTGGTGTTCAGTAAC